CCAACTTAGGTATAAATATAATAAAATATGTACAATTTTTTATGCATGAAACTACAAAAGCTATCAAAGAAACAAAAAATATAAATAATTGCAGAAATAATTTGTGTTTAGAAGAGTCAATATTTTTGGATGTCAATTCTTCCCAACTTGACTTATAGATTCAGTGCAATTCTGATACAAATCCAAGCAAATTACCTTTTATTTAACAACTTTAACATTTCCATGGAAAGTTGAAAACTTAGAATAATCAACAAAACGTTGAACAGCAAAGTAATACTGACATTCTATGACTTCTAGATGGATAAAATGTCAGCAACCAAGACAATGTGGCCTCACAAAAGAAAATGTACCAATAAAATTAATTTAAAAAAAGAATACACACAGAGATGAACAGAATTTAAAAGAATCTACAGATACACTCACAAAAATATAATTACTAATGTTTAACAAATGTGCAAAGACAATTCAATGGAGAATAATTTGATCAAAACAGAATGCTAGAAAAATTAGACAACCTTAAATAAAGAAAGTAACATTATGTATTAATCAAAAATTAACAGGAAAAATGATTATAGACATATAGCTAAAATGTAAAATTATACAATGGATTGAAAAAAAATGAAGAAGAAAACCTAAGTGACCTTGGATTTGGTGATGACTATGAGATAACAACCATAAAATCTGACTTATAAAAGAAAAAATATTAGATTTTATTCAAATTTAAAATTTTTACCTTGTAAAAGACACTTTAAGAGAATAAAAGACAAGCCAAAAATTTGGAGAAATTTTAGAAATTTTAAATTAAAAATCAACAAAACACTACTGCACACCTATTACAATGGCTGAATTCCAAGAAATAGACAATCTCAATCCTGGTGAGAAAGAACAGCAGCAAGAACTTGCATTCCTAGTTGAAAAGCAAAATGTTTCTCTCACTTTGTAGGACACAATGACAGTGTCTTAAAAAGTGAAATAATATCTTACGATATAAGAAGTTCAACCATTTGCTGTCTAGGTAATTTCCAAAATGATCTCAAAATGTATATTCACACAAAGACCTGTACATGAATATTTATAGAAGCTTTATTCATCATCAGCAAATGCTCAAAACAACCAAAATGTTCTTCTGTAAGGGAATGAATTAATACAATATAATGCAATTCCATAGAAATAAATGCACTATCATACAACACAAAGTCATAGTTGACTCTTAAATTAATATTGATGAATGAAAAAAGTCTGTGAAAGCTATACAATGTATTATTCCATTTATATAACAGTATGGAGAACAGAATCCTAAACAAATCTATTTTCCAAGAGTTTGGGGAAGAAGGTGTTGAATATGTGAAACAGAAGATTTTTAATGTGAAGTTTTTCTGTAGGGACTATATTGCTGGATTAACAACACTATGCAGATGTCAAAATCTATACAAGTTTGTAGCACATATAGTAAACTAATAATTATTAGGTGCATAAAGAATCTATGGGTAGAATGAACCATGTGACAAAAGGAACTTCTTATTAATAAATGGATGAAACTACTTCATTGAAAAATTATATGGCAAATAGCACTGAAAATTAGTGGAATAAAAGATTAACAACAAAAATAGAACTCTGATAAAGCTGCCTGCATGAATTTATGGCTTAACAACATTTAATATCACACATCTACACTGGAGCTGAATAATCTCCTAAATGAACGGGGAATGGTGGGAGGTAGGTTTCTCAGTGCTGGCATGAATGATTACATAAGCAGCAGAGAAGACTGTAGGTAAAGATCCGTGTGATAAAAGAGTATAATTGGAGACATTACTATGAACTCATAGATAGCTTAGTGTAGGTCCACATGAAACATTTTTAGATGTAGATTACAGATACATGGGCTGATATACACACATATATCTCCTGCTACTTCCAGAGAGGATCTAAACAAACACATCAGCGTCAAGAAGCATATAATCAACATCCCCATATTCGTTTACAAGGTAATGTTCTAAAAAAAAAAGGGGACATTTTTGGAGAGATTGCAGATTCCAGAACTAGGACAAAAATGTTTTTAGATGAGCTTGGAGTCTTCAGTGGTAGACTGTAAGACAGAAGTCAAAACATACAAACAAACGTACAGTAGACACATAAAAACAAAACTAATAAAGATAGGTAAAGGACCATAGAAGCCTTAAAAATTAATAATGCATTATAAATCTAAGTACCACAGAAATATCTATCTATTTAAGTAACTGAGTATGCAAATGGCTAATAGACACACCTCTCATGTGGACAGTCCAAACATTCCATGTAGATACACTGCCTTCAAGACATGGAGCTTAATTCTGCACTAGTTCAGTGTGAGCAAGAACTGCAGTAGGAGGTCAGGGACAAATAATTTCCAATAAAGAAACTTGACAAACTGCCTCAAGATGACCCAGGGTAACATCAACAGTAGAAAGTCATTTGAACTGTATACCCCTGTGATACAGAATAATAAGTGTGGCACTTTACTCCTCTGGTCTTCTCTAAAATACACATCCCCTGTCTAATCGCAAGAGGATAAAAGTCAGACAAAAGTCATGGGAGGGACTTCCTACAAAGAAACTGATCAGTAGTCCTCAAGACTGTCAGGAACACTAAAAACAAGAAGGCTGAGAAACTCTTACACCCATGTGACTATAAGGAAATGGAATTATTGCATGCAATGACTAACCATGGATGGGATCCTGGAAAATAAACTTATGTTGAATAAAAATGTTTTTAAAAGATTTGAATAAAATTTAGACTACTTAAAAAGGAATTAATATCAATAAATTAATTGTAAAAGTGTACCATATGAATGTAAGCTATTTATAGAGGAAACTGGATATAACCCAGATATGAAGTTTACACCTAGATGTTTTCTATGCCATTTTAGTGATTTTAGAATTTATTTTAAAATGATTATTTCAATAGTAGGACAATAAGACGGTGGGATCAAAACTGGAAATGAAGGTCTTGAATATCTCAGTAAAAACAGAATTGACATAGTGGGGCAAATGATAGGGAATGGAGATTATCGGAGAGAGGAGAGAGAGAGAGAAAGAGAGAGAGAGTGAGTTCAGTGGTCATATAAAAATAAAAATATAAAATTCAGAAAGAGGAAGTTGTAGACTTACCTTTTTATGTAATGAGTTTGAAGCTGTTGGATTGCATGGTATATATAGTCAGAAGATTGTAAATATAATTTATATTTAAATTTGTTATATGTAACATTTATGATTATTCTATATGCAAGTTGTTTGTAACATATACAACATATAGATACTTAAACATTCTGAATACTGTTTATGAAAAGACAAAAATTGCTGTTAGGAGAATCCCAAATATTGATGATAAAACAGAAAGGAAAACTCTGTGTAATCATTTAAGTAGGGTGGGAAAGGGTACAGAAGTCTTAAAAGAAAAAAGAAAAAAAAAAATCAATGAACCAAGAGTAGGACCCAGGAGTTTGAAGGTGAGATATGCTAGTTTGTTTAACTTCAAACATCACAGAGAGATGAAAGGAAGGATCACTGGATGTTTTTGAGTATGAAGTTACTGATGAACTTCAAAAGAGACTCCAGGTTGTTAGTCCGTTTTAAGTAAGTGAGGTAGGAAAGTGCAATATACAGTATCAGTGTAGAAGGCTGGAGTGAGCATTTCAGAATTCTCTTTGGGTCCTGGCTCTGCCAAGTGCTAATTATATCTAAAAAGACACATTACATTATAGTACTAAGCCTAATCTATTAAGTGTAAAATAAAGATAATAATGTGCATCACATCAGGTATTGAAAGCATTAAATATCGCATAATTTTTGGCATAGCACTCATCATTAGAAGCTCTATTATTGTTACATTTTCTAAAATTTCGACAGAGCAGATGATAAAAAGAATTGCTGATTATTATACACAATTTTCAATCACAGCCAATATCATATTTGGTGGATAACAGATTGGGAGACATATATATATTATGTAAATTACACTTGGAAATAGAAGATTTCGTTGATGTTAATGGTTATGTTATAGCTGCAGCCATTGAAAACTGAAAATAAAGGCAGACAGAAATAATTGAATTGGAAGCTCAGAAAGGTAAGAGTAGAGTAGTATTTACATGAATAATGTGGATGTTTATAGGAGGAGAAAATAAAAACACCTGGATTATTGATTATGAGCAGATGAATATTTTACATTATGTAATATTTTTTACCCATATGATGGAAAACTAGTATATCCAACAATTTTGATTCTTAGGTTGAATATTGACACCAGAATTGATAATGACGGTGATTTTTCTTAATGAAGTACAATACAATGTTGTAGTATGGACCAAAATTACTGGAGTTCGTCATTGTTGTCATTTTGTTCTAATGAATATCAGTGTAGAAATTGGAAAAACAGTGGAAAGAGCCAATTATGGAAGCTGGCATTAGATTTATTTTATTCTACATAATTAAAGGACTTTATTCCTTTATTATTGCTTGGTTTTATACAAATTGTTTAGGCACTCTTATCCCTCCTCTCTTTAATTTTTAAGTGAGACAATAAAAACAATATGTGACTAAATTCAAACTTGAAAAAAATTAAGACTTTTTGAGAGGTTTAGTGATACTGATTATTATGAAAATGTGTCAGGGAAGCATTGTAAGTAGCCAGACATGTGGGTGCACGACTGTAACCCCAGCACTTTAGGAGGCTGAGGCAGAAGGGTCATAAGTCCAAGCTCAGTCTGGGAAATTTAGAGATGTACCAAGACCTTGTCTCAAATAAATAGAAATAGAAACTATCTGGCCCTGGTTCAACTTGCAGCATTGCAAAGAAACAAAAGTTAAAGAATTTAAAGAATTAAGTGAGTGTCCACAATGCAAATTAGATGTATTGATATGTAAGTATTTATGTATATGCGTGCATACATACACAATAGACTCAATATCATTATTTTATAAAACAATCAATACCATTGTTTTATAAAAATGAACAAAACAGTTGAAGTGTCAGGGTTTTTTTTTCCCCATCTTTGTTTTATTTTGGTTATTGTTCATATCTCCCTTACTAAGAAATTGCTACAATGATGATTAACTTATTGACATTTGAGTATTTACTTTTAACTTTTTCTACATATAATTTCTATATTAGATGTATGTGCTTAGTCATATATTGTGCCTGAGGCATGTTGTCCATCAGGAGACAGATACTTGGGGTAAACTACTAGAAGGTAATGGAGAGGCATGATGAGACAACAGCAAACAGGTGGACTAGAAAGCCAGGCCCCCAGTGTGTGTACAACACAGCATCTCAACGCAGGACCGCATGAGGTCAGGATTTTGTCAAATTAAGTGGAAAGAGAGATGAGGTTGAAATGAAATAAATTAAACTGAATACCTGTATTTTCTTTTCTCTTTACTTTTCTAAAGTATACAACTGAGAGAAAAAAATAGCACTACATAGTATTTAAAGCTATGACCATCCACAGCAAAGAAAAAACTCATCTAAAAACACCAGAATAACTGGATTAAGAAAGAGAAGAGACAACACCACAGTACTCCCGAAAAAAACAAACAAGCAGACAAACAAATAAACAAAAACCTTGCAAAGAGTATCAGAAGAGGAAGACAAGAGGAAAAAAATTGTAAGATTCCAGAAACCACATATTAAAAATCCAACAGAGCAAACAGGGAAAACACCAATGAATGAATAAAAGGAAATCTCCAAGGCTCCATATTGAAAAGGGGTTTGACTATCGAGACGAAAAATGACAGAAGACTCAGCTCATTGATGTGAAATTTCATTAAAACTGGAGTAAGAAAATTCCAAGTATTGTCACGTAAAATCCATCCCACCCATAGAGGAAAGAGTGGTGCCATCTTCCCCTTGCCTTGCCAACCATGTTGGCAGCTTGGATATGACAGAAATACACCTTCGCAATACTGAGAAAAATCAAATTCAAAACAGGAATTGGGGATATAGGCGAACTACAAATTAGGTGAGGAGACAAAAGGAAAATTTCAAGCAAAGACTTATTTATAAAATGATCCCTCCCCAAATACACATTTTTTAGAAGGAAACTGAAGCTATTTAGTAAATTGTATAAACTCTTCTTTTAGACTCTAGCCATAGATTGAGGACCACTTCAGATATAATGCTTGCATATTTATATCTGCTCTTAGGAATTCCTTTTTGTCTTTTAATCATGCCAAGGATTGATTTCAGAGCCTTCTATAAGTTAACTCTGCTAAGCTTATACCAGCTTTAAATTTCCATTTTTAATTTTAATGTATTAAAAGTAGATATTAATAAAGAAAATACAAAATCCATCCCTTTTTAATACAATAGTTAACTGAAACATTTGCAGAAATTTTTATATGCAATATTACATCCTTCTAATTTTTTTCTTCCTATTCTTTTTTTTCTCCTTCTATTAAATCTTGGCTCTAGCTATTTTAATATATTTTTATCTTTCTTCCTATGCACAGCTCTAACTACTGATTTTCTGAAGAATTTCTGCGTTTATACTTAAAACAGTAACGGTTTTCTTGCTGTGGTAGAAGTAGTGAGCTTTAATGTATGATCAGTTAAATTTATAGAGCAAAGATTTTCACTATTTATGTCTTAAAGATCTCAATGATTTTCAAAATTTTCTACAATTGTTCTTAAATTATTTAATGAATTTCAAGTGATTATAACGAGAATATAAGTGTCAAGAAATTTCAGGGGAATCTGACACAACAGTAAGTGTGACAAATTAATTTCACCCACATGAATGGAACACTGAGAGGTTAAGTTGCTTGCCCCATAGGACATTTTTAGTGGGAAATAGAATCTGGTACAAAAGCAATTTTAAGTTATTTCTAATAAGTCAGTCATACTTCTTGACTCATATGTGTTGATCTAATACTTCTTTGAGCATAAAAGTATTATTTTTGAAATATATAATTAACATACATGTTAGCTATAATATGTACAAATATACTTCTGCAAAGATAAAGATGTAAGTCAATGACAAAATTATGGTTTAATTAATGTTAATGATCAAAATTACCCAGATCAGTTCTGAACAATCTTTATATTGCTAATATTTGAATAAAGGACAGTCATTCTATTATAACTATAAATTAATCTCAAACATTGCAAATATTGAAATATTAAGCCTAGTGCTTTACTTAGCATAAAAGATATCCCTTATTTCCAATTTATGAGAAACAAAAGTCTTTTCTTACCAGTATAAACTTTGCAGAGTTTCATTGTGCCTAAAGTATTTCCAAATAGTTTTTCTTCATATATTTGTATGTGTTTTTGTAAATAAACTGGTTTTTGTCTAAACAGTTGCTCATAATGTCTGTATGGTTGCTATGGAATGAATTCATATGCTGAAATCCTACTTTCTGGTACCTCAAAATGTGACTGTATTTGGAGCCAGGGCCTTTACAGAGGTAGGTAAATTCAAAAGAAAACATACACATAGGGCCTCATGTAATGCAACTGCTGTTATAAGACATAAGAGCACAAAGAAGGACAGGGTGAAGAATGTGTGGAAATGGTAAAACAGAGCCACCTGCAAGCCAAGAAGAAAGACCCTCCTTAGGCCACTCCATCTGAGATAGATTGTTACAGCAGCTCTCGCAAAAATACATTGTAGTGTTGGAAAAAAAGTAAAAAGTAAAGGTGGAGACACTGTAGAAATGATTTTTGTTGTGATGAAAATGAGGCCTGCATATTTCATATTGTTGCTTAGCATCAAGCGGTTTGAAATGACCTGGTCCTCCCAATTTGTCTTCACAGCATCATAGCATCTGCTGAATGACTACAGCTAGAGGCAGTTGTATTCTAGCAAAATCCAAAATGCAATGATCTCTGCAAGAATCATTTTCTTTGTAGGAAGTGATCTTGCATATCAACCTTCTTCAGGAGGTCATTCTTCCTTCCAGAGAGAACCAGGTTGCTTGGGGCAAATCGGAGAGTGATATTATTTTTCTCTTTGATATGAGCTTTTTAAAAATTTTTTATAAGTAGTTAATAAAACGTACTATACTGCGAACTGTTAAGCTGCATGGATAGTGTAATGCAGTCTCCATGGATAAAACAAAAGTAATGCTGGGGAACAGAATAGAGAAAAATAAGTTCAAGAGTCATCTCTTATAGGAAGAAAAGGAGAGTATGGCTAACCTCAAGAAAGAAATGAGAATAGCAGGTTCCGATGGACACACTGCCTCCACATCCACACCAGTCAGATAATTTTAAAGTAAGCATTTATGAAAGAATAATGCTGACGTTCCTTATGTTATACATATTGAACCCTATTTTCCCAAGTGTAAATTTTTACCTTTACAACTTTGCACATGTTAAATGTTTTCATAGATATTTTATAAATACAAGATATTGACCATATCTTTTGAAAGGACCTATAAGAAAATTTATTCTTTTCTTACAGTGTCAATATTCCAGTAGTTACTTGGATAGTCATAATACTGAGAAAATATATTACTTCATGATTAGTTTATATATGTTATGTCCAATTTTAGATAGTGTACAATCTACTTGAAAGTAAAATGAATATGAATTACTAATATACACCTAAAATGTAATATTTCTCAGAAGCGTACATCAAACTGAAAAAGTTGTTTACCAGAGAATGTTAAGAGATCATGTGTATGGGAATTCTTGCAGATGAGAGAGGAAAGAGGTCATGCTAAGCTTGGATTTAAGAAGCATGTGTTACAAATTGAAATACATCTCATAAAATAAGTGGATCAGCTGCCTGATTTTGCATTTGTGTGCATTTTGGGCTTTAGTCATTGGTTTTAGTTTCTGAAGTCCCTGATTTTTAATTTTTAAGTAATAAATAATAAAGATTTGTGGGCATGTTATAAATCTAGCCCATGCTACTTGATGTGCATTTTATTTTCACTACTCATCAAAGAATCACTAGATTGTAAGAAACTCTAGGAAACTGTGTAATCTTTTCTTCCCATGTTCAAATAAAAAACACTTTTTTCCTTCTTAAATTTTCATATAAACGCAAGCAGAAATTTTACCTATGAAAATGAAAATGATTTGGTGATTTTTTAAAACCAGTTTTCACACACCAGTACAGTATTAAACAAAACCACTATTTATTTTAATGTGGCATTTGAGCCCTGAGGCCACTCTTTATAAAGAGAGATTTTTTAATTTATGTTTTAAAATGTCTAGTTTTTGGGAAAAACTTAATATTTTAATTCACATCTTTAACATGAACTAGTGTTAAGATCAAACATTGCTTTTAGACTTCTTCACTTAGCATTTTGAATTGGATATTACCACATTTACTTCAATTTTCTGAGAGTGTAAGAAAAACAAATGTGTCTTGGCATACAGATTAAAAGGGAAAAGCTTTTGAGTTATACAAAGATGGTGTTCAGGAAGTGTTCTATATTTCTCAAAAGGAATGAGAAAAGTCAGCGTGTTGCTACTGCTCCTTGACATAGAGAAGGTGTCTTTGTTTTATTCCTCTTTAACTCTGTATCCCGCAATGCCATCACGGCAGAGTGTAGTGTACACCACTTTAAATGATAAGAGTTTCAATAGGCACTTTAGTGGAATTAAGAAAAATCTAACACTCTTCCACCGTGATGCCACAGAGCTATCTTCATTCTAGGTTGTTATGTCAGTAAATTGTACATAATAGGCCTGAGCTTGTCTCAGTGTGTTTCCGAAATAACAAAACAAAACAAAGGGCGTATATATATTAGGATTTATCTTGTGTAGGGAGAATAAACCAAAATTGACGAACTGACAACATTATAAATATAGCAACTTGCTAGAAACCAGATCATCAAAGGAATCTTGTTCTATAAAGCCTGTGTGTGCATGTGTATACATGTATGTGAGTTCCATTTGTGTTCTTTGTTAAAAACTTCTCCTCTCAGTTGTGTTAGCCTTCACCTCTCCCCTAAGTGACTTTATCGGGGTTATAGCTCTCTTCTTCGCCAAACATGTCTGCCAAGACTTTAAAGCGGGGTCCCCACTCAGCCAGATAGTCGTAGTCCTGGTCAGTGTCGGTGGTGAGAGAGTCTATGGAGCTGAGCGATTCTGCCGCAGACCCATTGCCTTCATAGGCGTATGTGGCCAAGGAGTCATAGGGTGGGGCCGTCGGGTCCACATCATTTTCCTGTAGCCTTTGATTAATGAAATCCCTTATGTCTGTGTTATCTTCCACCGGTCCTGGCCTCTGACGTGGTAAACATAGAGAGTCTGGTTTAATATCCCTGCGAATTTTGTTCTCTTCAACCGCTTTCGGATTTCGCAGTGCCCCAATGTCAAAGGCCTGCGTATCCTCCTCCCCGCCGCCTTCATCATCGTAGTGGATGACATTGTCTCTGACGTCTTCCTTGGAGGTCATCAGGCTGTCTTTCTTCTTCTGCCTTCGCAGAGCTACATACAGCACAACTATGGCTAAAGCAAGATAAAAAAGTATTTTGAGCACGGAAAGCAGATAGGTCATTCTCTTTCGCTGTAAGTTAAGACTGATCATGCTTCTTGAATTGCTTTAAGACTTACTATTATTTTCAAAGTAAGCATACTATAATATATAATATTACCTACATACTGATATATTTCATTTCCTAACAGCTTCATTTTGGAGCTGTAAAAGAGACTCAGTATAGTTATTTACATTATCAATTTTATCCTTATATTTCCACATACTTTAGATGATAAATAATGCTTTTTAAAAATGATGAAAAGAGAAAATAATGATTGGTCTCGTAATAATTGTACTTAATATAAATTGATATAACAAAACTTGTATTGTAGGTACAACAGAGATATTATTGATAATCAATTTTCTGATTGTATTGTTTCTCAATTGGATATTGGCAATTGGTATTTTTAATGAAATAATCCAAATCTTCTTTGAGATAGTGAGTTTTAAAAGCAATATAATAGAAAGAAAGATGAAGAAAAAAGGAAGAAATGGAAGGAGAAAGGAAAGAAGGAAAACAAAGGAAAACATAAGGACTGTAGCTCAATAAATCATGTGAAATAAGACCTCTGGTGTTTGTAATTCTGTGTACTCTCTATTGAAACTTTTGGTTAACTTCATGGAGCAAGATATTTTGAAATAATTTATACCTTTTCATTCCTTTAATATCTGATTTTTCCTAGTTGAGTCAGTGCTCTTCATTAAATTAATGGGGTTTACTTCTTATTTTTCAAATTTTATTTTTATTAGTACATGTTTGCAGTACATAATGATTACATTCTTTGTGGGGAATTGGTCCATGTACATAACACGTCTCTTCTTTCTTCATCCCTTTTCCATGCCCTCCTTCCCCATCCCCCCTTGTCTTGGTTTCCTTCTTTTTTGCAAAACATCTGTCTCCCTATTCTTTATCATCTATCATTCATTTTGCTCTTTAATTTATTTATACTTTGGGTATTTGCTTATTCAAAATGTATGTGGGACCCACTATGAATAATGAATTCTAGGCTCAGCTTTGCCCCCACCCTGTCTCCCTTGCACAGTGATGGTGTTAGGATAAAATCATAATTGGCTTTGCCTCAAGAGAGTCTGAATACTTCTGTCATAGAATTAGAAAACAGAGAAGTCATGATAACAAAAGTCCACTTACTCCCTTTCCTTCTAAAGTCACTCTTGGGACAATCAGAAGGAGGGAAGAGAGCTAAGCACCATTGCTACACAAAGGACATTGGAGAAATTCTCAGCCCTCTGCTCTTTTCCCAGGGAATGGGGAGTCCCAGAACTGAGGAGACTGTTTGATTATCCAGGATGTGTGAGAGATGTCAACCTTCATGGAGAAGTCCTGCATATCAAGTGGATTTAGAGTTGCCATTTTTTTTTTATGTGTCTGAGGGCCACATAAAAGAAACTGGAAAACAACATAATTCCCATGCATTCACTCACTAGAGGAAAGACATGAAAATGGGAAACCTAAAGGATTCTGTATTTGGTCAAGCAAGTCAAGGAATAGGCAAATTTTATAGTGGAGACCACAGGAAGATTAAAAAATGACAAAAATTAGTACTGTGTACAAGGAATTCAAAATACCTGAAATCCTTTGGGTGTACTCAGGACACTTGGGTTACTCAGGGGAGTGAGTGGACTATAGGGATCAGTACAGGAACATGATGAGCCAAAAAGGTTGCCTGACTCACAATATGAATCCCAGATGAGCCAAGGAACAACACTCAGAATTTGCCCAATCTTGTTAAATTGGGGCTTGACTTAGTTACAAGGAAAGAGAGGAGAATGGGAGCAGGCCATTGATTTGAAGTTAAACTCCAAAATCAAGGACAATTTCAGATGTATGAAAGTTATTTTCAATAACCTTCTCAGGTTTAAAGCACCAGCAAAAACATATGCTAAGGATAATTTATTATAACTTATAAGGATATCAAGAATACTTTGTTCTGTACTTCAAAGATATCAGTGTGGAACTAGTGGCTACACAATGCAAATTGGACTAGAACTTTGCTGTCCAAGTCAGTATGAATGTCTGGCTCTGAAGTTGGCCACAAACTATTATTTAATTCTGCAATCCGTGCCTTCCTTTCTAGTACTCATTTTTATAATTTTGTTTTATATCCTAGAGACAATGTCAGATGATAATAGTTGTCAGAATATTTTGGTTAAATAGTAAGCGTGCATATATAAATGATACTGCAATGACCAGCTGTATATCTGCCGTAATTTGATTTTAAACAAAAGCCTGGTAAAATGTACTGTATGAGCACGGCAAGGAAATAATGAGTGAAATGGGAAAGTTGGCCAGAGCGGACGGAAGAGGGAAAGTCCTAAACTGGCTTTACGTTCACTCACAGAGATGTTACAGGAAACACTGAGTTCAATCATTTCCCTTTGCCATGCTTCTAGATATTTTACTCTGCTTGATTCTGTTAGAGTAGAACAGTCAGGATTTTGATGTGAGATGTGGGAAAATAGAAGAATTGCTTCTAGTTGGCAGTTTAAAGGGAATAAAAACAAATTTGGCATTCCTTTACATTGTATTTCTCTCTTGTCTTTTCTCTTCCTTTTTTTCTGGAACTGAAGTATATTTGTTTAAAAGTTGACTTAATCATGTATTAGACTGTGGTAATTACTGAAATGGAATATAAATGGAGAAAGTTTTAAGTGAACAATGATTATTAAGAACTTCATTGTGTCAAAGGCCAAAAAATTTGAAATTTACTTAGGGCTTGCTTGAACATATTTTGTGTTTAATAATGTTATTTATGAGTTATAAAATAGAAAATTAATTTCATAAAAAATCAAGTTTAATTCAATAGAGCTAGATAATCTTGTATTTAGAGGTGATAGGTCAGTGAAGAATGTTTATTTATATGGTAAATTGATGAAAGAAACAGAGAGATAAGACAAAAAGATGAGGGAGGAGAGAGACAGAGAGAGAGACAGAGAGAGAGGTGACTAATAGTTAAACCAACCTAAAAGTATAACAATGCATAGAAGGATTGCAATCAAAGCCCCCGTGCTAAGTCCTACAGGTAGAAAAACTGCTTCCACATTACAAGACAGAATGGTGCCATCAGAGTCACATCTACAAACTCTGATTGTCATTGTGTTTGTGCTGCTCTGGACCGGGTAACTGCTGTCTTCTATTACCACAGGCAGGAAATACAACTCTTGCTGCCTGCGGCTGTATCCATTTCTTCCGGTTTCAATTCCAGCTGTGTTGTCTGCAAAACATGACATTTACGATGATATGGTTAATATAAGCATCACTTCAAGTCTTAAACTTAGTATCTGCTAAGCAGTAGAAAGTTCTTGAATTAGTAAAATGAATTTGTACTTTAATGTTTTCTTTTAACTTTATGAAAGACACCAACATGTAATCAAATGTAATTAAAATATACCTGGGGGAAAGAAGAATCATTAATCTTGCCTGTTCTAAGAAATAAATTTTCTTTTCAAAAAGAATATATGATTTTAAAGATAAGAAACTATTAGAAAATCTCGTTGAGGAAAAAAATATCTTTTGAATGTTCTCAGACATATTACTGGATGAATAACAAAGTACGTGTACGTAGAATATTTTACATAAAAATTTATTCTTTAAAATATATTAAAGTTGGGTAGGTTATGTAGCTCAGCAGTGCAGTGCCTGCCTGGTAAATGTGAGGTGCTGAGTTAAATTACTAATACCAAAAA